AAATGACCAGATATAAACCCAGCTTACTGTCCACTGTCACTTAATCAATGTCTTGTAATTCTATTGTTCTAGTCAGAGATAAAAATATTGAGTATATTGGGCCTGAGATTATCCCTTGCAGAAACTGATTGATTCTCCAGTGTAACCACTGCAATCATTTTTCATAGGTTCTTCCATAAAACTTTCTGTCGGGTGCAAATCCTTTCATAACTCATGCATATTACACTACCAAACTCCCTTAATAAGTAAAAAGCTTAGGGAACCTGCTATTTTTGAGAAGTTATAGATGGTGTCACAACACCATAGGGATATGTTGATCAAGAAAGGAATTAGGCAAGAGAAAGGACCTGGTAATCTAATTTAAATTATTAGAAAATGAGGAGAAGATACTTTTAAAGCAATAAAAAATGAACACTTCTCAACAGTAATAATTGCAGCCAATTTAATGTCTATTACATAACAATTTTCCAAGACATATTTACGAATGAATGTATGCAATTTAGAAGGAAAAATGGGCATTTTTTTCAAATATGTAAAACATTAGTAGATATATTCAAAATATGGTAATTAACCTTTGATTTAAGTACATTTGTAATTATTACTTGGGGGAATTCCTTGTTGTCCTTTTCTCTGTCTGCCATGATCAACTTTCTGATGAGTTTGGTACAGAGGAAGTTGCACTTAATTGCACTGTGGGCAAAGTGAGCGCTAGCTTCCATTTTATTTGGTGACTTTGGTTGTACCATAGAGGAAGAAACCTAAATAATTCTTTACCTGGATGCTCTTTACCTAGGGTCTTAATTAGAACTACTCTTGAGCAGAAAGTTTCTGTTTTCTTTTCTTTGGCTGCCCTACAGCTCTGGAATTGTGCTGTCTGATATGGTAGCCACTAGCCTTATGTGATTATTTAAATGCATTAAAGTTTAATAAAATTAAAAATTCACAACTTGAGTTGCACTTGTTGTATGATAAGTGCTTGAGAGCCACAGGCGAGCTAGTGCCTGCTGTATAGGATAGTACAGATTATATACTTTTTCTGTCATCACAAAAAGTTCTATTAATCGTCATTAATATAGAGCCAGTAATTTTCTGTCTAAAATATCAAATAATGATATTCTTCCTCAATGGGTATTCCTCTCCCTATTCCTACCTCTATAATGCCCTTACTTTTCCATCAAATTATTCATCATGATAACTGGCCACTTGTGTGAGATTTCTCTACTTCTTCAAGGTTTTCCCTATGTACAATGAATTTAGTTAGCATTGAAACATGATGCCCTTTCTAAGATAGAGCATTTCCTCTCCTCCAGCACTGCTACTTTCCAGAGCCCTACTCTGAGAAAATTATTATATTTAAATAAGATGGGAGCTTACAACATCATGAAATGCAGCTAACAAAATTAATTCCAATTTCCCTACATAAAAGTAGCATCAAATAGACTGAATAAAGGATGAAAGTCTAGAAGTAGAGAATGAAAAATGGTTCTGATTTCAGTTCAGGCTTGGCGTATCATAGGCTGCCAAGAAGTTCTTTGTTCAGTTTGGTTTTATTTAACGTTATTAACGATTTAGAAAGAGGAGTCAACAGGTTCTTAATGAAATTCATTGATGAGGCTGACTAGGAAGTGTTACAAATGCAACTGATGACAAAGAAATTATTTAACGAGATGGAGAGGGCAGTAACCTATTGACAAATTCACACCAAATTATATTCTACTTGGTAAAAATTAATGTTTAGTAATAAGGATGCCTAATTCAAAACAAAAGTGCTCAATGCAGACATAAGGAAAAGAGCTTCTGGCCTTTGCAATATTAAACCTTGCCATATGCTTACAAAGGAAGCAGTGGGTTCTATTCTTTTTGATTAAAGTTGCATTATCTGATATAGAGAAACATAATTTTCTTTTAGCCATGGCGCTATCATCTAGCTAATCAATAAGTAATAAGTTAAAGTTTGACATTTGTGTCACTGAATTAATTTTCAAGTTATGTTTTTGAATTTGGTTATATGTATGTACAACGAAGCAATGCAAAATGCAAATGTTACCAGAAATGGCATTGTCTATTCTACTGTCTATTCATAGTTCTTTATAAGGAACTTTGGCATCTATTGAGAAAAAAAAAATATATATATATATATACATATGGCTATATCTTTTTACAAACTTTACTCACATTCCTGCTCGCATTTGAGCAATGTGGAAAAAGACAAATAACAAATAATAAATAAATAAATAACTTCCTAGTTTATAAATGATAATAAATTAGATATATTTTAATGTTATACGACTCATTTTTATTGTGATAAAATATACATAAAATTTATCATTTTAACCCCCCTTTTTTGTAGTTCAGTAGCATTAAATACATTTATATTGTTGTACAGCCATCAGCACTATCCACCTCCAGAACATTTTCATCTTCCCAGATTGAAACTGGGTACCCATTAAACAGTAAATTCTTATCCCTTATTCTCCTCAGCTCCTGGAAGCCACCATTTTTGTCTCTGTCTCTATTAATTTGACTACTCTAATTACCTCATATGAGTGAAGTCACATAATATTTGCCCTTTTCTGTCTTATTTCACTTAACATGTCTTCAAGGATCCTCCATGTTGTAGCATGTTAGAATTTCCTTCTTTTCTCAAGGCTGAATAATATGTCATTGTATGTATGTACCACATTTTGCTTACCCATTCATCCACTGATGAATCTTTGGGTTGTTTCCATCTTTTGGCTATTGTGAATAATGCTCCTGTGAACATCAGTGTACAAATATTTGTTTGAGTTCCTACTTTCAATTCTTTTGAGTCCATGCCCAGTAGTGGAATTGCTGGATCATATGGAAATTCTATGTTTAACAATTGAGAAACCACCATACTGTTTTTCACAATAGCAAAACCCATCATATTAACTCTTTGTTCCTTCAAATGTCACTATGCTCTAAAACCTTTGGGAAAGTGTAAAATATTCACTCTATCCTTGAAAATCTCACCAAACTGTTCTATCTTTGTATTAGGTGAACCTCCTTCTTGCTTGCAGATCTACTGTGACCAACAGTTCATTTCACAGCCATCTACCCCTCCCATAGACCTAGCTACACACCTTAGAGAAACTCGTTCACGTGCTCATCAGGCTACACATGTATATGTGTTCATAACAACAGTATTTATTGTATATCAAATGGAAACAACTCAAACATTCATCAACAAGAGAAGGAACAAATAAATCATAACATATGTATAATGTAATCATTATGGACTACAGCTACATGTAACAACATGGATGAAGCTCATAAAAAATTGTATTAGAAAACCAAGTCACATAAATTCCATATAATATGATACCATTTCATATCACTTTCATAAAGCTCAAAAACAAGATAATTTAAACAATATGTTGTTTAAGGAAAAACACGTGATAAAACTGTTTTTTGTTTTTGTTTTTGTTTTAGAAACAGGGTCCCCACTTCAAAGTAAAAGCTAAAATTTTTGTTTTAGAAACAGGGCTCCCACTCCAAATTAAAAGCACAAAATAAATACCACCCATATTAAGATTTAGAATATAATCAATAATATCGTATCCTCTTGTGTGTGTTATCTCTTTTCCATCTTTCTGGAATCCTAGAAATAATTACTTTCCTGGATTTTATGTTTATCTTTCCCTTAGTTTTAAAAAATAATTCTGGCCAGTTGTGATGGCTCGCACCTGCAGTCATAGCACTTTGGGAGGCAGAAATGGAAGGATCACTTGAGACCAGTAGCTCAAGATCAACCCGGGCAACATAGTGAGGCCCCATCTCTACAAGATATAAAAAAAATGAGCTGGGTGTGATTGCACAGGCCTGTAATCCCAGCTACTTGGGAGACTGAGGCAGGAGGATCCCTTGAGCCCAGGAGTTCAAGGCTACAAGTGCTGTAATTTTGCACTCCAGTCTGGAAAACAGAGGAAGACCCTGTTTCTAAAACAAAAACAAAATAATTCCAGAATTATTTTTTAAAACTAAGGGAAAGATAAACATAAAATCCAGGAAAGTAATTATTTCTAGGATTCCAGAAAGATGGAAAAGAGATAACACACACAAGAGGATACGATATTATTGGTTATATTCTAAATCTTAATATGGGTGGTATTTATTTTGTGCTTTTAATTTGGAGTGGGGGCAGTTGACCCCCTGTAGAAATGCTGCTTACAATTCTCCAGTGTGTGTAAAAAGATAAAGATGGGAAAGGCCATACCTCCTTTACCACCATGGCTCCTACTTCCCACACCCCATCCTACTATGGTATGAGGGAATTTATCATTATAGACAGTTCCCACAAAAGTGTCATCCATACAGTGAGTTTCTAGTATATCTCCTCTTTCAAATATATTTTTCTTAATTCTAAGCCATTGGCTGGTTTTACATTTTTAACATTCCTGAAGATGGCCTATCTTAGAATAGCTATGCATATGTGTAAAACAATAGTGATTATTGAAACTCTTTCCCTTTCATATCTGCTCCTAACTTGAGGAAGTATGTTTCAATAAATGAATAAAAAAATGAGTAAGTTAATGAATGAATGAAATGTCTTTTAAATAGATCATTTAAATGAATTAGAATACTCTGATGCAATTGAAAACAATGTACCATCCAAAAGCATTGATGTATGTATTTATGTGGGCAACACATATTAACATAAAATACGTTTTTAAGTAAAAACAGTCTTAGAATTATGTCTTTTCTATTTGCTTAAATATGTTAATGTTATGAGCACTTATCTCAATTAGGAGTAGATTAGGGGCACAATAATATACCTTTTCATAGTGATTTTATTTTTTTAAAAAATTCATTAATATTTTTGTTTTAGAATTATTTAATATATTTCTTCACATCTCCCCCAGAGTTTCTCTAGGGCAGGCTAATGTGTAGTGCCACATTTTCTGCCTTCCTCATCAGACTCTTTTTCTATATCCTGACCGCTTCATTCACAGTGGAGCAAGGTGAATGTTCATATTGACGAAGTTTCCACTTTCCATATACCCCCTAGCATGCAAATTCCAAAGCCCACCACACCTGCCTGATGTACCTGTGGCTTTTGGCAATAGTTCTAAATTCCTTTTCATTCATTCTCTCCAAAAACAGGTTCTTTCAATTATTGGGTTTTGGATTTTTTCCAAGTAGCCACCTGCAGTAAAGCTTACTGGTTGGCAAGTCCTGTTTTTATATAGAGAGTTTCCAATTAGCTTTTTAGCACTTTTAAAAAATATTTTAATTAAACTGTGACACACATATAGAAAGTAGACAAACTTAAATATACAGCTTGTTGAATTATGCCAAAGTGAGCAAACTTATGTAACCATCATTAAACTAAGTCATTACTAGAACCCCAGAAGTGCTGCTTGTACCCACTCGCTAGACTGCTCCCTCCTCCTTATCCTAAGTATGAATGCTATAGATTAACGTTGCCTGTTTTTAAAGTTGTTGCAAATAGGATTATATATTATGTATTAGTTTATGTCTGGCTTCTTTCCCTCAATATATTTGAGAGATTCATCCAGTGTATCTGTGCAGAGCAGTTCTTTCATTCACATTTAAAGTTCATTCACTTTATTTATTTGACCATTGATAGATACTTGGATTGGAACTATTATGATTATTACTATTACAAATATTTTTTACAGATGTCTCTTGGTGGCCTTGAGCTGGTCATTAGGTATCCACGTGTTGAACTTCATAGATGATGCCAGTTTTCAAAGTCATTTGTAATAATGTGCACTATCATCAATAGTATTTGAAGATTTCTATTGCTTAACAGCATAGTCAAACTTGATATGTGACTCATTTACTTTTAGCAATTCTGGTGTTTACATAGTAGTACCTCATTTTTGTTATAATTTGCATTTCTCTGATAATTAGTGAATTTGGATCTTATGTAGAATGTCTATTCAAATTATTGCTCAATTTTCTATAGGGTTCTTCATTTTTCTTGTTAATTTAAAGGAATATGTTATATATCCTGAACAAGAACTTTTTAAAGTTATGTATGCCACTCTGTGACTTGCATTTTCACTCACTTAATGATGCCCTTTGATAAAGAAGAGTTCTTAATTTTAATGCAGACCATTACTTAGTTTTCATTTAATAGTTTCTGTTTTTTGTGTTCTATTTAAGAAATAGTTTCCTACCTCCAAGATCATGAATATAATCTCATCTTGACTTACAGAAATTCCTGAACTCCTTTGTTCTGTAGATTCCTTTGAGGGTCTGAGAAAGACTATGAGCACTCCTCAGAATAATTTTTAAGTGAATAAAATAAAATACATAGCATTATAAAGAAAAGCAATTATATTGAAGTGGAGTCCTATTCTGAGACTTTCAAGATTAAGAAACGCAACCTGGTGGCTTTATTATTTTACCATTCATAGTTAGATCTACAATCCTCCTGAACATAATTTTTATGCATTCTACAAAGAAAGAGCCAGGTTTCTCTTTATATTAATAAAATGTGGATATCCACTTGACTCTGGACCATGTTTTAAAAGACTTTCCTTTTACCATTGCTCTGAAGTGCTAGCTTTTTATAAATCAAGACTTTAATATAGTGCAAATCTTTTTCTTGATCCTCAAAATTATGTTATTTGGTCTGTTTATATTCTTGCGATAGTATCATGTTGTTTTCATTATCACAGATTTTAAATTTTTTCATGAATAGTATAGTATAACCTTCCATTTTACTGTTACTCTTATTTAAGAATGCCCTGGATATATTTTGGCTGTTTGCATTTCCATATAAATTTTAAAACTAATTTATTTTCTATTAAATATATATTAAGTGAAATATTATTTGAGATTGCCTTGTATTTATAAATCAACATGGTAAATAACTACAACTGCTTCAATATAGTCTTCTCATCCATAAACACTGTATATCACTTAATTTGTTTATATATTCTTTAACTTCTCTCAGTAATATTTTATAGTTTTATATAGAGAACTTATATCTTTCTCCCTAGAATTATTTTTATGTTTTGAATATTTAGTGTATTCTAACTGCTATCTTTTGTTTCATTTTAGAATTTTTTTATTCCCCATGTAGAGAAATACAATTAATTTTTGGATATAGAATCTGTGTCCAAAAAATTTGCTATACTCACTTACTGATGCTAATAATATATCTGTAATTCTTTTAAATGTTCTACATACACAATCATGTCGTTAGCAAATAATGATCATTTAATTTCTTCCTTTAAAATCCTTAATATATTAGTGTCCCCTTATCTGTGGGGTATATTCCAAGATATGATATCATGAATAATATTGAACCCTATATATACTATGTTTTTCATAAACATACATATTTATTATAGAGTTTAATTCTTAAATTAGGTACAGTAAAAGATTAACAACAATAACTAATAATAAAATAGTACAATGATGGCAATATACTATAATAAAAGTTATGTGAATATGGTCTCTCTCTTTTCCCCCTTCCTCTCTCTCCCCCTCTCTCTTTCTTTTCCTCTCTCTCTCTCCCTTTCTCATAATATCTTATTGCACCATACTCACTTTTCTCATGATAATGTGAGATGATAGAATGAATGCCTATGTGATGAGATGAAGTGAGGTAAATGACATAGGCACTGTGACAGCGTTAGGTTACTACTGACCTTCTGACAATACATTCGAAGGAGCATCATCTGTTTCAAGTGATTCCAGACGATCAAGCCATGACAATGTCGATGGTTGGATGTCAGGAGCAGATGATGTCAATGGCTAAGAGGCAGGCAGCATATGCAGTGTGGATGCTCTGAACAAAGAGATAATTCACGTCCAGGGCTGAAGAGAACATGATGGCACAAGATTTCATCACACTACTCAGAATGGCTCACAATTTAAAATTTATGAATTGTTTCCATAAATTTCCATTTAATACTTTTGGGCCACAGTTAACAGTGGGCAACTGAAACCATGTAAAGTGAAACAATAGCTAAAGGGTTACTACTGTACCTTTATTTATTTTTCCCTTGCCTCACTGCACAGGATACCATTATTAATAAAATGTTGAATACAAGTTGTAAAAGTTGCAAAGTTGTAAATGTTGAATACAATTTGTAACAGTTGGAAAGATGTCAATATTTTGCCCTTATGATGCTAGTTGTAGATTATTTTTTAAATTTATCAGATTAAGGAATGTTTCTTCTATTCTTCATTTCCCAGATGTATTTTTTAGCATGAATGGGCATTATATTTTACAAAATTATTTTTCTGTATCTATTCAGATAATTATAAAACTTTCTCCTTTATTCTATGAATGTGGTTAATTATAAAGACTGAATTTTAAATGTTAAGATAACATTTCATTCCTGAAAAAAAGCAATTTGGTTGTGTTGTACCACCAAATATAATCATTGCTATATATATACTTTGATAATTGTGTTTGCACTTAAGTGTTGATCAGTTAATATCAATTTGATGGTGAGTACATGTGGTGTTTGTTTTTCCATTCTTGTGACACTTCACTTAGTAGAATGGGCTCTAACTCTATCCAGGATAATACAAGAGGTGCTAGATCACCCTTGTTTTTTTGTGGCTGAGGAGAACTCCATGGTATACATATACCACATTTTATTAATCCACTCATGACCAGAAGAGACGATGTGGCACAGGTATCCGAATCCAGGCTAAGACTAAAGGTGGCAGCATAAACACTGAGAAACACTCACCAGCACTACAGCACCCCATCTTCAAGTACACAGGCATAGCAGCTCACTTCTAAGTCATTTAGAGACCCTAGACACCGAATGTAATGATCAGCCCATCGCAACACCATCCCAAAGCTAGTCCAACTTCTAACTAAGATTGATTTCAAATCCTCAAATTAAAAGTCTGAAAGCAGGAGACCTTATTCACTGGAGTAAATATTATTTAACCTCCTTATCTATGGGTATACACATGACATCTGGAATTCAATAAAAATATTATGAGACTCACAAAAACAAGGGGGGAACATCAAGAGATAAAGCAAGCAAGAGAACCAAGACTCAAAAATGACCCAGAATATGAAACTGTGAAAGAGAAACTTTAAACTAACAGTGAATAATAGGCTGAAGGACCTAATAGAAAAGGAAGAAAACATGCGGAGACTAGATGAGGGAGTTTCAGCATAGAAATGTAAATTATTAAAAAATAAAATTGAAATATTAATGAATAAGACATTACATCAGAATGAAACATTTCTTGGATGGGCTCATAAGTAGATCTGGCAAAGCTGAGGAATGATCAGTATAAACTTGAGCTACATCAATTATGTAAAGTTAGAAAAAGAGTGAAGATTGTACATATACACATAAATAGATACAGAGAGAGAGAGACGAGAGAGAAATTCAAGAACTGTGGGAACACTACTGAATGGTCTAACATAGGTGATATCAGAAATCCTAGAGGAAAAGAGAAATGACCAAATATTTCCCAAAAGTGATTAAAGACATCAAACCAAAGATCCCAACGAATCCCAACAGAAGCCAAGCCAGACATTCATATCTACCATACAAGTTAGAGGTTAATAGAGTGAAATCTTTAAAGTACTAAAAGAAAAAAAAAAATGCTACAAACCCAGAATCTGTGCCCAGGAAAAATACTTTTCAAAATGAAGGCAAAATAAAAAATTCTTTTCAGTCAAGACAAAGCCTGAGAAAATTCACTGTCAGCTGAACTGCATCGTAAGAAATGTTAAAGGAAAATCTTTAGGCAAAGAAAGTAATCCACTTTGAATTGGAATCTACACAAAAAATGAATATTGGGGCAATTATACAGATGAAGGTAAATGTAAAAATAATGTTTTGTTTTTATTTTTAACCACTTTAAAAGAATTTGACTGCTTAATGCAAAAATTATAACAACATTGGAGGAGTTTAACATGTATAATACTAAAATATTTGACAATAATCTTACAAAGAATGGGAAGAGACTTCTGGAAATATTCTGTTGTTCTGATACTATTTATGACTAGAATATTATATTTGAACATAGTCTATAAACGAGTTCAAGATTGCTTGGTGTCGGTGGCTCTCATGCCTGTAATCCTAGCACTCTGGGAGGCCACACGGCAAGAGGATTTGCTAGAGGTCAGGAGTTCGAGACCCCAGCCTGAACAAGAATGAGAACCTTGTCTCTACTAAAATATACAGAAATTGCTGGACAACTAAAAATATATAGAAAATTAGTCAGGCATGGTGGTGCATGCCTTTAGTCCCTTACTCAGAAGGCTGAGGCATAAGAATTGCAAGAATGCTTAAGCCCAGGAGTTTGAGGTTGCCTGTGAGCTTAG